TCCACCATCTTGTTCTCATTAGCCCTCCACGCTCTCCAAATAAAGCAAACCACAGACATGGGACATGTCATCATGAATTATTGTTGAATTGACCTCTGAATTCATTTTTCATAGCATATTGAATGTATGGATCCATCAACTGCTAAGGCTGTCAGGTCATGTTAACAGGTTGACATCAATGAGTTCAGCTTTTGTCTCCCTTCCACCAATTGAAAATTTTTAGTATTTAATAGCTTTGAAGTAATAGCACTAGATTTTTGGTTGTAATGTGTAAGAACCTTCAATTTTTTCAACTGGAAGAAATATGGTAGGATAGTCCAAATCATGCAGTGTGGAGTCAGAGATCTGGGTCGAAGTCTGAGCTCCACCACTTTCAAGCAATGTGGCCTTTAGCAACTGATTTAACCTTACACTGGGCCTTAATTTACATACCTGTAAAATGGGAATAATAATGCCCCACTTAGAATTGTTGTAAGAGTTAAGTGAGAAATACATATGTAGAGTAACTTTCAAAGTGTCTGGCACAAAGCACTCAATAAATTACAGTTTCAAAACTAGAAACAAAAGAAAACTCATAGGATATATTTAAACTACATCTCTATAACAATCTAAACCTACACTACTCTCTAAAGGCTAACTGCAAACCCTAATTTAACTCTGAAATGAAGCTTGTTATTACAGAAATCTGAGTATTTCCTTTGGTAATTCAAGCACTGAGTCTACTGTGTGATGTGGGAGAACCAGAGACAGAATGAGGTTTGGGTCCTGGCTCCAGCCCTTAAGGGCTGAGTATTTTCAGAGAAGGAGCCTTGGTGGGGCAGTGGTTGACCGCTTGGCTGTTAACTGAATGGTTAAAACCCACCAGCCTCTCTGAGGAAGAAAGATGTGGCCGTCTGCTTCTATAAAGACTGTAGCCTAAGAAACCCTGTCTGTAGGGTTGTTATGAGTTGGAATTGACTCAACAGAAATGGGTTTTATTTTCAAAGAAATTGCTAAGTCTGGTTCTATACTCTGTACCCAATTAGTGAAGGAAAAAAAAAAAAAAAAAAA